GAAAATGGACATAATAAATATCTTTGCTCTATAAACTAAAGAGCTATATGTACAGTAATAACCTCACACGATGAGTTTATCACTGGTTTTATTTTATTTATTTATTTTGTATATATTTAATACTTTTGATAGGTTTTCCATTTCTTTTCCAGTGGTCGTCTGTTAACATGGAGGATTATTAGCTTTCAGGGCATGAAATCTCAGCCAGGGATAAATATTGTATTTTGTTACTATAGATCAGAGTTTTTGCTTGGTTTTTTTTTACATCGAGTGTCTGCAGTGTTTAACAATAAAAGCATGATTAATAAATGGTGTTCTGTCCAATAAAGCAGAGGGCTTTTGTTTGAAACAGGAACATGAAGTGTTGCATTTGTAAAAACAGTGTAATAAAGATTGAATGATAAAAGGTCATATGTTCAGATAAAGAACAAAGGCAGTGGTTTTCTCATGGATTAAAATAAACTTCAGTGATGTCTGAATTCAAACTTAATAATTTCTACTTCCTCAGATGGAGGAAGTAAAAAGTGTTGTTCTGCTGTTCTTCAGCACCACACAGTTTGTCTTTCCACCATTTTCTTGTCTAACAAACACCCCTCACACTCTTAAAGTCCTCCTCATTATTACTCCTAGCAGGTTTTCGCCTGAGGAGGTCTGTTAACATTTTTTATGAGAATTTCACAGAAACTTTTAGTATGAAGACAGTTTGTGAATACAGATCCTGGACATGTTTCTCTGTGTGTACCTGCTCTGAGGAAAACTCACAAACCAACATGGAGTCTTTTCCTGTCCAACAGAGACTCAGTGTCAGATATGTGACTGTCTCTGTGGAGTATCTGCAGCTGTGACAGAAACTCATGTGGTGTTGTAAAAAGTACCAGACTTCCCTCTGAAAGAAAACTGTATCAAAATAAAAATACTCAAGGTAAAATACACATGTCGCTAAAAAAAAGAAGAAGTATTTTTTAGCGACTTTTTTTAAAGAAAAAAAGTCGCTAAAAAAAGACGTGAAAGCGACTTTTTTCAGGGGTCTGAAAACTCGCTAAATATAGCGACAAAGTCGCTAAGTCGGCAACACTGCTCCTACCTGCTACAATCACTATGAAATAACGAGCGGATTCTCACCTTTTGGTCTGCAGAAGCTGAGAGTCTGAGCAGCTCCGACGAGTCACTCTTCAAAATGTCTGAGTAGCTGAGAGTAGCGATGGGTCGTTCGCGAACGAAACGGCTCTTAGAGCCGCCTCTTTGACGTGAACGACGCGAGCCGGCTCCTTATCGCGAGCCGTCACGTGGGGTTTTTTTTTTTTCTTTCTCTCACCCTCTCTCTCTCGCACTTTTTTTCCGCTTCACTCTGCACGCGAGCCTTGTGGTTTACGCTGGGCAGAGGGGGGGAGGGGAGCGGTAGTTACACTCAGTAGCACAGGGACAGAGCCAGAGGGACAACAAGGTCACATTAGAAAGGTATAGTAATCATCCACAACTATATTCGGTTGCAGATGATAAAGGATTCAGAAATTTTATTCATGCAGGTCCATATGACAGAGAATATGCATCTTCTTTTTGTTTTCATATTATAATTTAATTGTGTTGTGGTTTGCAGTGTTTTGTGTTGTTTTCACTTTAAATTTGTAAAAGGAAAAAGCTGAAAATTTAAATAGTTAAAAGTTGAAATGTGAATAGTTGATTTTTGTATTATATGATTTATTTATTACATTTTATGTGGAGTGAATAAATAAAAGTATATTTACGGTGGCCCCTAGAGACAAAGCACAAACAAACTTCAAATCACGTACGAACTCTGAAGCATGTACAAACTCCAAAACACGTAAAAACACGTACAAGCTCCGAAGCACGTAAAAACTCAGAAGCACATAAAAATTCAAAACACGTACAAAAGACAACAGAAGTGCTCCAGGATGCTGGGCGCAGTGTTGAGCTTTTGTTATCTTGTGGCTACACAAGCCAGGAAGTACCAACGACCGGATTTGGTGTGTAACAGGTAAATGAACTTTTTTTTTTATTATTTGAATATATATGAGTGCTTGTGTATAAATACACAAACAATACACACATGCTTTCAATTGTGTAATTTAAGTGATCTAGTAGCTCTGCTTTGGAAGTTCAGTTCATGCTAGAAATGTGTTTTGGAGTTTGTACGTATTTTGTCTCTAGGTGCCACCGCATATATTTATATATAAACATATATAAATAAAACCACTTTTTTTTACGTTAGTAATTCCTTTTGTGCGTAATTTTATTGTTAATAATAAATTAATTAAAGCAACAAAACAACCTGAAGAGCCGGTTCGGAGCCGAAAGAGCCGGTTCGGAGCCGAAAGACCCGGGTCTTTTTAGTGATCGAACCGAAAGAGCCGGATCTCTAAAAAGAGCCGGAAATCCCATCACCAGCTGAGCTGTCCTCACTCAGTCCCACCATGAGGTTTGTTTCTGAAATCACATGGTCTCCAGTTAGCGCTTTTTTAAATTAATGTGGACCAATCAGAGTCACAGATGCTGCTCACAAACAGCATGAACTCTGACATCAGAGCATTGCCTAACTTTGAGGTTAAGTTTTCTGAACCAATGAAAGTGTCAGTTTAAAGAACTGAAAATGCACATTAAATGCCTCAATTATCTTAATAGAAGAAAAAGAAGCTCAATTTTAACAGTTCACCTAAATTTCTTTAGATGATAAAAAAGTATTGCTGTATTAAATGACAGAACTCTGTCCGCACGATTATAAGAAATAAATATTTAAAGTATAGAAAATATTCTGGCTGTTCATATCTAAGGCTGTCCTCTAATTATAAAAGTTTTCTTCATACACAGAAAATCTTCTCTTTCTTTCTGTTTTCTTACTGGGGACCAATTTGCAAGAAAAAAAAGAAAAGAAAAAAATCTGTTATATAAAATTACTGTTTCATTCTGTATTCTTCTGAAAGCTGTGAGTATGTTTAACGTAACGAGTACTTTGGAGTATTTTGAAGAACAGAAATATTTAAATTTAAAATAAATACATTAAAATACCTCTGGATGTTTTTCTCTCGTGTTATTTGTGGTGTTTAGAGGTAAAGAGAATCTGAGACAGACGCTCACTTTCACCAGTAAGATATGCTTTAGTCTCCATGAGTCCGGTTATTGATTATCTGCAGCTGGACACATCAAATCAGACATAAAGGGAGTCCTGCTCTGTGTGACACTGATGGGATAATCTGTGAGGGTTTTTCTCCTGTCTGTAACGTCTGTCCTCCTCTGGGCCAGAAACCAGCGTTGGCCCTCCATGCTGAAGAAGGTTTCTATCAAAGTCTCCTCAAGCTGTAAAAAGACATTGTTTAATTTTATTCACTTTGTAAAAACACAAAATTGTTCCAGTTTATTATAAAAACCTTAATCAGAACTGAAAAATGTGAAACACTCAGATGTTGTTCATACAATATGTTTATTGATCATCATGAATCATTTTAAAGCCTCTGAAGAAGAAACAGAAGCTTTTCTAATGAAATGGAGAAATAACTGGTCAGTGTTACAGAGTTCAGTCAGTTTAAATAAGCTGCTAAGCTTCTAACATAGAATTATTTCTCTGTCTGCTCACAGTCTCCTTCTTACATCATTAGACAATAATGATGTCATCATGTATTAAACTGTTTACCAGCTCCTGGTATTTATCAAACCTGTATCTCAAATCTGCTCTGCTTCCTTCACCCACTCTGCTCCTCATCTCCTCCAGTGTCTCGACCTTCTCTTTCTCCGTTCTGATTTATTCTTCTCAAACTTCTTCACATGTTTTATTGTCTTCTGAACTTGTAGGGTGAACTGGCTGTCTTACACACGAGCATCTGCAGAAGACTTGTTGATACAAATTTTCCACTTTTGATTTTCTCACAGTCCCTAGGTTTCTTTGCCTTTCTGCATGGCTTGTGACAGTTCTCCTCACGCTTAGTGCACCAGGTAACTCCATAACGTTAACTCAAATCTGCATACTCAAATATTTTTGTATCTTTGTAGAACTTAGCTTCAGGTCCTGTAGGTTGATTGTTCCCCATGTTCCTTCAGAGCTTCTTGATCCTGTTTGATTTCTGCCTGTGTCCCTCAAGCCAGGTTGATTCTGTCTTTTAGGGTTCGGGTGCTGGCAGTGCACTAAGAAATTTGGAGATCAGTCTATAGTTAACCAAGACAACTGGATCAAGTATTACAGCCAACTTTAATACTAAATTTGATACATTTATCTGCATTAGCAGGGTTTTAAGCATTAAGTCTTGTTTGATCAGTGTTGTAACTTATGAATGGGACCTGTGCTGGCTCATGTGTTCAAACTGTTATCTATTTAAATAGCTATAACCTGTTACTCTAACGTAAATAACAAAGTCATAATAAAAGTCATCAGTTATACTTTCATGTGCCAGCAGGTTCTCATCAGTCAGTCTGAATTGCTCAACATAATATTATTATTGTAATTTTGACCTCCGACTCTGCGCACTGGCAAATGGCATGGGATAATGAAACAAAAGGGAGACATTTATATAGGGTGCAAAACACAATAGAAGCCATGAGGAGTAGCGGATTGCAGAGACAGGAGGAGGTTGTTGTCAGTAGAATATGTACAGGCCACTCCCTTTTAAATGGTACTCTTTTTAGGATAGGAAAACATCCGACTGGGTTGTGTGATGGGTGCACTGATATGGAGACGGTTGAGCATGTACTCCTTAGTTGCAGGAAGTATGCCAGTCACAGGAGGGTGATGTGGGGGGAAATGAGTGGTGGAAGGGAACTTACGTTTGAAGGAGTGGTTAGAGAGTTAAGTCATGGTGAAGGGAAAGTGGTGGTTTTTCATTTTTTGAGAAATACTGGTCTCATCAAGAGGATCTGAGGATTCGGGAATGACGGACGATTAACAGCCAGGAGGCGGCAATAATGCAACAGTTTTGGATGCAAGCTGCCGTTAAACTTGACTGAAGAAGAAGAAGACTCCTCTGCGCTCACGGTTCTGTTCTGTTTCCGTCCAGCAGGTGGCGGCACTGAGCCGAAGCGGAACCTTGCTGAGTGGGCGGGATGTGTTTCCTGCCGGACTTGATTCCTCGTGGCTCCTTCGTGTGTGTTTTCTCTGCGGCTCCTCGCGGTGCCTGCTGTTTACCTGTGTCTCCCTGTCTATTCGGTGCTCTCTCAGGTGTGCTGTTCTCCGGTGAGCGGACATGCCGGCCGGCGGCAGCTCTTTGTTCTCCGGTTTCCGGGTCCTGGGACTTTATTCCAACCACGTGCCGCACGCGCTCCGGTACCACTTGAAGCACCGGGAGTCCTATGTGGTGACGGCGGTCGGACGGAGCTTCCACACGTTCAACGTAAGAACAGCCGCACGTGCTCACACACACAGTCTCACACTCAGTGTAAACCTGACTAAGACCGCCTGCAGGACGGGGAAAGGCCGAAACTTTATAACTGCTTATAAACACACACGGGGTTACGGTGGCTTTACTTTAGGTTATGACGTTATGTCCACTCACCGCCCACTTTATTAGGCGCACTTTGCTGGTACCGGGTTGGGCCTCCTGCTTTAAAATATTTTGGTCCATGTTGACATGATGTCATCACTCAGCTGCTGCAGATGTGTCAGCTGCATCCATGATACAGATGTCTCAACACGTCCCAAAGGTGCTCTATTGGATTAAGATCTGGTGACTCTGGAGCTTACTAGAGTGCCGTGAATGCACTGGCATGTTCAAGAAACCAGCTTGGTATTAAATGAGCTTCATAACCATGTTCATCAGAAGATGTTGATCCTCGTGATCGAATTTCCCATAGGAACAATCTAATTTCCCAGAGGAACCCACCCGAGGGATTAATAAAGTTCTATCTAATCTAATCTGAGCGTCTGAGTGTAACCGGTGTGATTCTGCGTTGTGTCTGATAAAAAAGGTAAAAGAAAGAAAGACCTCCAAGTAAATAATTTGCCCACTCCAGCTCCTCTCCCACAGGGGAATTGTAGGAAAAGGGCTGGCATTTATTTTTACATTTAACATAAAATATGCATTTACACGTAACATATTTGACATAAGATAAAACAAAAACAACAACATGAAATCCGACATACCTGATAAAAAAGGTAAAAGAAAGAAAGACCTCCAAGTAAATAATTTGCCCACTCCAGCTCCTAGACCAAATACAAACAGTGGGGAAGAGGGTTAGCTCAACCCACCACAGCTCCCAAGCTAGCAAGGAGTATATATTCATGCTAGCATTTATGGCGCCTAAAACACATTTATGATACACACATACTACACACTTATCACATCTTACAAAAACAGGCTTAATAATGACAATAACTGAACTAACATTGCAATCATAAACATCAGGGTGGCTAAATATGAATTATGTGTGTTTCAAGGTGTTGGAAAGAAATGACACCCACCTCTCCCACAGGGGAATTGTAGGAAAAGGGGAGAGGCAAAAGGGGTACACTGTATTTATAGTATTGCACCAAAGAAGAAGAAGAAAATAATGAGGAGGGGCTCTAACTGATAATGAACACAACTACAGGCTTGGAGGTCCTAAAAGTCAGGTATAAAAGGAGCAGTTTGGGGGTTTAGAACACATTTTGTGTAATTATAACAATGTGATTTATGACCCTGTTACATGAGCTCCCTCTGTTTATACTCCTTACTGATCTATGCTCTGGTTGGTGGATTGCTGGTAGGTTTTTTAAAGTGCACCTGCAGCCTGAACACATTTTAAGACCCAGGTTTAATCAGGGTGGTTTGTAAAGAGTTATCCTTCAGTGATATGATAATCTTGTTATGACTGAGACATACAAAGAGGATCAGCGATGAAGGTTTTATTGATACCATCAGGAGTATTGTTTTATTTGCGCATTTCTGATCAGTTTCCTGTGTGGAGTCCATCCTGAGTGCCTGTTACTCTGAAAATAACCTGAATGCTGTGGCTGATATCTGTTGATTATTGTATTGGTCGCCTGCAGGTGAACAGGTTGGGGATCGTTGCTGTCAGTGAGTACTTAGATTTTTATTTTATTTTATTTCTCTCTCTGATTGGCTGCTCTGTTGTGATGTACTGTAATGAAATTATGATGTTGTTGTCCAGGTAACAGCCTACCAGATGAAATCACCTGTTTGGCAGCCGACAGGATGTTGGTGTTCGCCGCTACCGGACGGCTCATCAGCACCTTTGCCAGGAACAAAGAGGTACCAAAACTGTAACCAAACATTATCTTTTTTTTCCTTAATTTTAAATTCTGACTTTTACCTTTTTTTTTAGTTAAACAAATTATTTAATTTTCAAACATAAAAACAATAAAATATTTATAATGTTTGGTGCTTTTGCTTTTCTGAAATTCAAATTAGAAAACAAAATATTAAATGTTATTTAAATAACTAATTAAAAAATCTGTTTTATTTCTATTTGAATAATTTTTTTCTTTGTGGTCAGATACATTTAAATTAAATAATAAAATTAAATAATAAAAACGAGCAGAAAATAAAAATGAACCAGTAGTTTGCTCTCCGTACAGGTGGTGATGCATTACAACGGTCATGAACAGGAAGTGCGCCTGCTGCTGCCTCTGGGTGATCAGCTGATCTCTGCTGACAGCGGCGGTGATGTCATCGTGTGGGATGTCCAGAGTGGGGGTGAGTCTGAAGTGGTGTGGCTTGCCCTGCACTCACCTGCTGTAGCATACATGTGCTCTTACCCATCATGCCTCACTCTCTCTGCCTCTCAGAGGTGTACCTGCGGCTGCACTTTGACCCATCAACCTTTGACGTATCGGCCATGATGCACCCGAGCACCTACCTGAACAAGGTGCTCCTGGGGAGCTCCCAGGGTGCACTGCAGCTCTGGAACATCAAGACCAGGTGAGGGTGTAGCGCTCGACTCTGAACACTGACAGAAACACACATTCAGAAATCCCCCGAGTCTGTCTGATTTTAGGTTTCCTTCCATGTCTCTGTGATGGTCACTGTGTAAAACGTGCAAACTGCATACAAACACCAATGACACAACAATGACACAACTACCATCAGCATGTTCAAAGGAGCCTCGACTGTCTCAGCTTGTGGGCCTTAGTCTCTTACAAAAGTATCTTCTGCTGCAGCATGCTGTCAAAAATAAATTATTTTAAAATCGTAAAAGTTTTTTTATTCTTTTATAAAAAATGACACACGTACATGTGTTTTAAATAAATATTTAAATTGTATGTTAATACTGTAAGCTACATGTGTATCCATATTCCTGCGTCAGTGTTAATGTTAAAGTGATGAGGTGTTAATAAAGTTGTTTGATCCTCAGTAAGCTGCTCTTCACGTTTGCTGGCTGGTCGGCAGGAGTCACAGTTCTGCAGCAGGTCAGGAACTTCACAGACTTTTATTGTTGGAAGTAAATACACACCTGATTCTTTTATTTTGAAAGATTTGTAAATGAACACTTAACTTTACAGAGTCCTGCGGTGGATGTGGTTGGTGTTGGCACCGCAACAGGTCGCATCATTATTCACAACATCCGACTGGACGAGACATTGATGAGCTTCACACAGGACTGGGGACCAATCACATCGCTCTCTTTCAGAACAGGTACACGTGATGATGTCATGCCCGTGGCGCTCGCTGCCATTGGCTCCGTCTCTCTTCACGTATTCACCGTATCTTTACCTCTGTCTGTCAGACGGCCCTCCCATTGTGGCGTCCGGCAGTCCTCAGGGCCACATTGCATTCTGGGATTTAGAACGTCACCAGCTCGTCACTCAGCACAGACACGCCCACAGAACGTCCATCGCCGGGGCAACGTTCCTGCAAGGAGAGCCGATATTGGTTACCAACGGCGCCGACAACGCCATCAAGGTAAAAAACAAAACAAGCGAGAGAGATTTATGACAACACAATCCCACTAACAAACAACAAAAACCACGACAGCAAATAAAATTAAAACAGCTAAAAGTGTAAAAACAAAATAGAATATGAAACTACAAGAATAAACAGGGTTCGTACGGGTGCTTGAAATCCTTGAAAATGCTTGCATTTCAGATGTGGTGCTTAAAAGTGCTTGAAAGTGTAACTATTTCATTCACCACAAACAACTATCTGATTGAATAGTTTTCTTATTAGATAGAGAAATAAAATGAGTCGCAAAATGTAAAAGCAAAATTTCCCCGCCTGGGCTGCCTTGCGTCTGTTTCAATGTGTGACCCCGCCCCTCCCTCGGGCAGTCGAGGATGAGTGCGCTAACATACCTGCAGGTTGCTGTTTTAATGAGTGTTTGATGGAAAACGACAGTCGCATGATAGGTGAGTTCTAGTAAATAATTTTCCAGTATGCGTACGTTACACACGCTATTTTTTAAAATTATGATTATTATTTTGCTGTCAAACTCACTGGAGAAATGATTGAAATGAACTGAGTGTGATGCAGTATGGCAGCGCTATTATGGAATATGCTGTGAACTTAGCTAACGTTACTTAGCAGTGTTAATTTACTCAAGTGAAAGCTTTAAACATTAGCCCGATGCATAACTAGCTAACTTAAGGCTTTCTGATCAACCCTCTGGGGTCGACGGACCCAGAGTCTCCATTTCAACTTGGGTCGAACATGCGGACTTCAAACTATATACCAGTGTTTAAACTGTGTTGATATGCCACGTAAAACCGATGTGTTTTGAATAAAACAGTGGCGTTTACTCTGGGAGGAAACGGTATAAACGGCGTTTTCTATGGAGAGTGCTAGCAAACACGCTTTGCTTGTGAGTGAAAAAAGAAAAAACACTTCTTCCCTATTGGTGGAAAAATGTACCATGTCGACCAATCAAAAAATTATATGGCAACATGTGGCATCTGGTTGTTTGGGAGGACGGGGAAGTGAGAGAGCACGAGTGAGCGAAAAAGAGAGAGAGAGTTTTGATACGTGAGAGATTTGTGACGTTTTCCATGTTTGGAGTCTCAAGTTAGTGTGTTGTCTTGTGTAGTTAGTGTGAAGTTGTTGTTTTGTTTTGTGTGCCAGTTCTACTAGTGAACGTCACAGTTGCTGCCTTAAAGCCACCAAAGGCAGATTGCAGTGTAAACGCTGAGTGACACACCTGCTGTCAGACCTGCAGGTTTACCCCTGTGCTGTTCTCATCTGTGTCATAGTGACACACGCTATTTTTTGAAGTTGCGTAAATAATTTGTGCTTTGTTATTTGATGCAGAGCACCTGAGTTTTCTGTAAATAGTTATAATGGTTATATGAATAACGTCTGAGCCTTGGCTGCGTTTTTAGGTAAATATGACTTTGTTGTTTGCAAAACTTGTGCATATTTTTAAAAAATGTACAATTTCCATTTGCATTACAAGTTATGAAAATGATTCCTTAAACATGCTGGTGGTTTTTACAGTCAAAAATATCACTTTCTACTCGTATTTTAAATTATGTCTGAATTTAGATAAATTGTGCTGACACATTATGTCAAAATGAATAAATAACATTTATTTCTTTCTTTTTGGGGGTTTTTTTTCAACAGGAGAAGAACATCTCAAACAAGCTGATTCGTTCACATTTTCACATCTTAATTTTTAAGTGAAATGTGCATTTTGAGTTTATACACTATGTGTATACGGCGACCGTTTCCTTTTGCAGTATTTTTGTGTGGTGCTTTTTTTACTATGTCTTAACAAAAGGTGAACAAAGGTGTTTAAGTTCACCCTGATTTGTTTTAATTTTCACATGGTCTTACTGAGGTGATGCGAGTTGTTTGTTTTTTTTGGGTTTTTTTGGGGGGGTTACGGGGGGTGGGGGGATGTGCTTAAAAAAGCTTGAGAAGGGACGTTGAAAGTAGGGCTGCTCGATTGTGTCAAAAATGATAATCACGATTATTTTCACTGAAATTGAGATCTCGATTATTTGATGATATTTATTTAACAATAACAATGTATTGAATAATGGCTTTAAAGATTGTCAAAAAATAATATAAAATAGTGTGCAAATACTGATAACAGTGCAAATGTTTGCAATATAAAACATAAATGAAAAATGTAAACATCTATGTTTAGTGAACTTTGCAGTGTTGCTCTGTGGCGCAGCTACGACACTGTAGCAAAGTTTACACACGTCTGACTCCGTGAACCCATAATGTTTCCACACCACTGAAGTTTTTTTACTTCTCTTTTCAACCAACGGCAGTCACTCCTCTCCAAATAACTTCTGCTTAGCTTTCCGAGCTTCCCTCGGGTCCTCTTAATTGTTGTGACACGTGTTCGAAATGCAGAGAGGTGCGCTCGATTTGCCACACAGAGCAGCGCGAGAGTCAAGCCCGAGGGAGGGGCTAATAATCGGCTCAGTCATTTTTAATGATCGTTGAAAGCCCAGATCATAATTTAGATTAAAATTCGATTAATTGAGCAGCCCTAGTTGAAAGTGCTTAAAAAGTGCTTGAATTTGATCCTGAAAAAGGCGCATGAACCCTGAATAAAGTGATTCCATTTAAAAACAACAAAAATACAACTTTTAAAATGAACTACATATAACTAAATAATAACTAAATCTAACTAAAATCAGAGACTACGATGAATAACCCTCTGGGGTCCAGGGTATAATTGGCCATTTTTGGCTACTTTTCATTTTATCTCCATATTTCATCTTTAAAAACTGTTCATCTTGCCTTGTTTGGTATCAGTTTGGTATCAGATTGTAGAGTTATTTTTTCATTTTGACATACTGTATTAACACAGTTGATCTAAATTGAGACGAAAAACATAAAATCCGAGTAGAAAAAAGTTATAATTTTTACTGTAAAAGCCACAAACATGTTTAACTTGAAATGCAAATACAAACTGTACATTGCACAAGTTTTGCAAACAACAAAGTTATATAGTACTATTTAACTAAAAATGCAGCCAAGGCCTCAGGTGTGTTTTTTTGTTTGTTTGTTTGTTTGTTTGTTTTGTTTGTTTTTAAATAACCATTTAAAACTATTTAAGGAACAATCAGGTGTTTTGCATCAAATAAGAAGGGACACAAATTGTTTACTCCAAAAAATAGTTTCTGTCCACTATAAGACCGAGGAGAACACCACAGGCATAAACCCTGCAGCTCTGACAGCAGGAGGTGGATCAGCCCTCCTGTTTTTTAGCTGGAGACAGAGTTAACAATACATTCTGCCTTTGGTGGCTTTTTTGCACCAACTGTGACATTGAGCAGTATAACTCACGCACAAAACAAAACAATGACTACACTACACACTAACTACAGCCTCCAAACACGCTAAATGTCACAAATCTCTCACATATCAAAACTCGCTCTCTCTCTTTCTTTCGCTCTCTCTCTCTCTCGCCGGTGTCGCTCCTAAAACTTCCCCCTCTTCCTAAACAACCAAATGTCACATGTTGCCGTAGAATTTTTTTTGATTGGTTGACATGGTAAACTTTAACACCAATAGATGGGGAAGGGGTGTTTTTTTCTTTTTTACTCCCAAGCTGAGAGTGTTTGCTAGCGCTGTCCATAGAAAACACTGTTTTTACCATTTCTTCCCGCTGTAAACACCACTGTTTGAAGAAAACATTGCTTGTATTTTTTATGATAACTCTAGTTTTATGTGGCCTATCAACACGATTTAAAAACTGGTTTATAGTTTGAAGTCTGTGCATTCGACACAAGCTGAAACTGAGACTCTGAGTCACTGCATCTTGACCAGAGGGTTAAAACCAGAGATCAATAAACAAAAAAAGAAGTATAAACAAGAACTGCAGTAATAATAAAAACAAAGCAAAAAAAAACTCCCAACAAAAGTCAGACATTGAGGAAAATATAGAAAAATAACTTATATTATAAAGAAAATAATGAAAAGCAACATTCTCAATTAAATAATTACAACAAAATATAAAACAGTAGAAAACCTTTTCCCCCCTCAGGTGTGGATTTTTGATCAGGAAGGAGGCGGAGCCAGACTGTTAAGGATCCGTCAGGGACACAGCGCCCCGCCCACCACCATTCATCACCATGGCAATGACGGAAAAAACATCCTAAGTGCAGGTAAGATCAGATGATAGTATACATATTTCTTTATTTATTGTGCCATTTTTATTTTTTCTGTGTCCTCCTGTTTTGAACCCGCTGTTTATATTTTCTGATATTTTTTTTAACTTCTTTATATTTATGTTTTGTGTTGCTTTTGCCTGCCCTGCAGGTCAGGATGGGACACTGCAGTCTTTCTCCACCGTCCACGAGCGCTTCAACAAGAACCTGGGTCATGGTAAGCTCAGCCCTCCCATCAGACTCTGTTCAAAAAATGTGACATTTTAGAGTCGCTTTCTCAGACTCAGTGTGTCTGTCGGCAGCCTCTCGATAACAATAACACAAAAATGATGACACAGAAAACTGAACTCCTACTGTTCGACCTATTTCCTTTATTGGCTAAGAACATCCTCCTGACTTCACCCACTGCAGTTTCATGTTGGACACTAAATGCTGCTGCTTTAATAAAAATCTTTTTTTTTAATTGAGTATGGTTTACATTTATTTCTTTTAGGCTCTGTTAACAAAAAAAAGGAAAAGAAGAAGAAGAAAGGACTGACGTATGAGGAACTGCGACTTCCTGCCATCACAGCGTTCTCCTCCTGTGAGCACAATGACAAGCTGTGCAGAAGTCCATACAGAAAACGTTCCATTAAAGCTGACACTGTCCTTTTTCTGTTCACAGCTGTCACTCGTCAGTCAGACTGGGACGGCATCGTCGCATGTCATCGTGATCGCATAGCAACAACCACATGGAACTACCAGAGGTGCACGATGGGAGCGCACCATCTGCAACCACCAGGCTCACGGAGGGGTGCCATCGCTACGGTAATAGCATCTTTAAACCTGTGTTTCTCTAAGCTCCTCTCCTGGATGGCTCTGAGGGTCACATGACCTCCTGTTTCTGCTCCCAGGCTGTTGACATCACTTCCTGTGGTAACTTTGTTGTAATTGGGTCATCTTGTGGCCGCGTGGACGTCTACAACCTGCAGTCCGGACTGCATCGGGGTTGCTACGGTGACGATGAGAAAGGTGTGTTCACCTTTTTTTCCTGTGATTGCAGCACTGTCTCATTTTATTAACCCAAAGCCCCCGGTAACTGCAGTTTAATCTGTCATGCTATCGAGCCTTTTATGCAAATATGAACATGTATACACAGAAATCTTAGAATCTCAGCTAAATGCTCATATAAATGATTTCTACAACTACCAAACACAGCGAAAACAAGCGATGATTAAAAGAGCAGTTGCGTATTTGCTAAAAAGTCCACTAAGCACAAACAACGGAGCCCCAAACCAACCCCACTTCATGTAACACTGTAAACAATGGCTCGTTAGCTCTCAGAGACCTCCGTCAATAATTGCACAACGCCTGAATAGTGCTGTCATTTTTCACTTTTTGGCTTCAGAAGCATAAGTCTTTGCACAGAAGATGTTTATATGTTGATTAATGATTTTCTGGATTAAAATGTGAACTTGGGTGTCATTTTCGAGCAGGAAGCTCAGAAAGCCCTGTAGTAACAGGTTAACCCCGATGTCTTGCTCCTCCAGCTCACAATGGTGTGGTGCGAGGCATCGCCACGGATACCCTGAACCAGCTGACCCTTACCACAGGCTCTGATTGGCTGCTGAAATTCTGGCGCTTCAAATCGAAGAAGCTGGAAGAAGAGATGAAACTAAACCATGCGCCGGCTAGCATGAAGCTACACAGGGAAAGGTAGCTAGGAGCTAGCATGATGCTAATAAACTGCATGAGTAGCTGCAGTGAATGCTAACAATTAGCATTCCCTAACACTGCTCACTCTGTTTCTCTGTTAGTGGGATGCTAGCATTAGCACTGGATGACTTCACTCTGGTGGTTGTCGACATAGAAACCAGAAGAGTCGTTAGGAAATTTGCAGGTCACCACGGCAACATCAACGACATGGTGGGTTGGATGAAGGTGTTAGCATACATACATGTCACACAGTATGCTAACAGGAAGCTAAATGTTTTTATTCCTCAGACATTCAGCCCTGATGGCCGATGGCTGGTTACTGTGGCAATGGACTGTACCATCCGTGCCTGGGACCTCCCCTCTGGAAGGTAAGACTGAAAATTTTAATGAGTGACTGGGACAACTAATCAGAGACATTAGCTGATCATCAGATCCATCATTTTCTTCTATCCTCAGTCTAGTCGACTGTTTCCTGGTTGCCACGGCGCCAGTGAGCGTGTCCTTGTCCCCGACAGGTGACTTCCTCGCAACAGCTCACGTTGACAGTCTGGGCCTCTACCTCTGGTATGAACTAATCACAATGCAGCCTTTGCTACAGCAACCAATCAGGGGCTTTTTTTCTTATTCACAATTGGTCATATGAAAGTCCATTATCAGCCAGTCACAGTGCAGTTGTCCTCCTTTAGGACCAATAAGAGCCTGTGTGGGCCTGTGGGGCTCCGCCCCCTCCCAGCTGACTACCAACCAGTTGTGGAGACTTTACCGGGCGTCACGGTGGAGGAGACAGAACAGGAGGTGAATTCTGAGGAGGAGGAGGAGGAGGATGTCTATCAGTCAGCTGAACAACTGGGGGCGGAGCTTGTAACTTTGTCTCTGCTGCCAGAGTCTCGGTGGAAGAGTCTGCTGCACCTCGATGAAATCAAGGTGAGGAACTGTCACTTTATTAGGAACACTGTGAGCAGCTGTGGTCCTTGATTTCAAAATCATTTTAGTGGGGAGGACAAAATATAAGAACCAGTGATAGCAGTTAAAACGTGAAGTGAAATGATCACTTTTTCACTTGGGTTGTTGCCAAAAATAAAAACAACATCATAATCCTGTGAAAAAGGAACAAACCTGACTGTGATTGATTCCCAGTCCCATCTTTGTATTTATTAAATCAAATATTTGTTTTGTTTTTTTCATGTTCAGTCTGCTTCTTTTTAAAACCTCCCTGCAGCACATACTGTTGATTCTTCCACATACCAGCTTCACCTGGGAGTGTGATGAGTCAGCTCATGAACAGATCAATTCTTTACATGATCACAAATCAGCTGATGGTCTCTAAGGATTGAGTACTGATCATGTAACAACCTCTCACCTGTGTGATTTGGTGTTTGTAGAAAAGGAATAAACCCGTGGCGGCCCCTGCTGCTCCAGCTGCTGCTCCCTTCTTCCTGCCGACAGTTCCCGGACTCACGCCTCGATTTGCGACGCAAACACAAACCGAGCACGAAACACAGGTAACATATGCCTGGGACCTGCTCACATCGGGACCCGAGTATGTTTTAGTCCAAACTGAGGATGTGCACTTTAATCATGTGTAAATAAAGTCGTGTTTCCTGTGTCTCAGTCTAAGGTGCTGAACTGGGGCGTGCTCTCTCAGAGGTCAGAGTTCATCTGCACTCTGGAGTCAGCTCTGACCACGGGATCATGTGAGTTGGGACAGGATTGGCTCACCTTCATGCTTTTATTTTTTAATGCTAAAATCTAAAGCTGGTATTTATTCAGAATTTCAAAATAAAAGCTGCTTACTGAGCTGACAGAAAAACAAAATTAACGATAAAGAAAGAAAACAGCTTAATTTTTTTATACCTGAGGACAGTCTGTAATGACAGTAACTGAATCAATTATCCAGTGATTGATTAAGACGTTTTTGTGGTTTTTAGTCCATATCTGATATTGTCCGTAACATTATACTTTTGTATTTTATCAGAGTATAAATAGATGGTTTTCATCAAAGTTTGAAACACAAACCTGAGTTCTGATCAGAGATCAATACTCTCTCTGCAGTTGATCAGCCGCTGCGTCTCCTGAAGGATTGTGGGCCAGCGGCGCTCTCTGTTGAGCTCAACTCTCTGGCTCCAGAGGGGGGTGGAGCCAGAGAGCTCCTGCTAGTGTTCATTCAGATGATTGACAGCATGTTGGCCAGTGGGCGGGACTTTGACCTGGCCCACGCTTACCTGGCGCTCTTCCTAAAGGTTAGCCAATCAGAACACACTCGTCAACTGTGCCATCTTTTATTGTGGAAGTCTCTTCACGATTTCCTGCTAACTTTTTTTGTTTTGTTTTTTTTAGCTCCATCTTCGCTCTTTATCACAGGACGCCACCGCCATGGAAGCTTTGAACCACCTCTTGTCCCGGTTGGAGAAAGGTTGGGCGGAGCTACAAGCATCATTTGACCAATCGTTATGTCTGCTTTCATACGCAAAGAGCGCCCTGCTGTGACACACATACATACACTTTTTGTATTCTAATAAATTTGTTTTGGATTCTTCTGTGTTTTTATTTCAACCATTCAATGAATCTTCTTAATGAAAGATTTCAGTGCTGATGTACTTTTCTTCATCACTTTCCTAATGCATGATCTCAATGGCAACATCTCAAGCTAAAGGAGAATAAATGAGAGGTTTGGTGTTTGAACTACACAGTGGATGTCTGCCTTATAAAAACTACAATATCCAGAAATTGGACTACAAAATGCATACCTTCACTCAAATGTTTTTACTGAGATGTTTGAGCAGTTTTTATAAGCGTGACATTCAGAGTTCAGTTGTGGGTTCATCAGCCTTTCAGGAAATAAAAAACACCATTAATGAACATCTTTGTGATCTGAGTCTGTCTCATGAACATTTCTGTGGATTATGGGATGGTATCATCTCCTATTGCAAATAGTATGTAATAATAGAATAAAATAAAAATGGTAAATGGCCTGTATTTGTATAGCGCTTTACTTAGTCCCTAAGCACCCCAAAGCGCTTTACATATCCAGTCATCCACCCATTCACACACACATTCACACACTGGTGATGGCAAGCTACATTGTAGCCACAGCTGCCCTCGGGCGCACTGACAGAGGCGAGGCTGCTGGACACTGGCACCACCGGGCCCTCTGACCACCACCAGTAGGCAACGGGTCAAGTGTCTTGCCCAAGGACACAACGACTGAGACTGTTGGAGCCGGGGCTCGAACCAGCAACCTTCCGATTACAAGATAAACTGCCAATTCTTGAGCCATGATTGCCTGAAAGCATAAACCTTTAATTGTCCCACAGGAGGAAATTTGGTTGTAACAGCAGCAAAAAACACCCAAACACATATACATACAGAACAGGACATAAAATTTTTACATATTTACACAATCTATACTTTTTGTGTATTGTACCTCTGCATTAAAAAGTGATGTTTTCTGTGTTTGTTGGTAATATTGTTCCATATCAAACATCTGGGAGGAGAACAGCTGTGCTGGTGCAGAACACCAAAGAAAAACATCTGCACACATTGGCATTTCTGGGTAGAGCCACAGGAGTCGCCCCCTGCTGAACACTATTTTCACACATTGGGAACATAAAAAGTTTTTTACATTAATAAAGTTTCCTGATGAACACAGAAATGTTTTAATTATTCAACAGGTTCCCAACAATCAGAGAACACCTCTGAACAATGAAACGAGCATAAAACAGAGCCACCTTTGTTTTTCTTTCAGAACGTATTAAACAAAGAATGTTACCGAACAAAGATCTGTTCCTAATGTGAGCAGGTGACAATAGCAGGTGAAAAAAGTCAACTATAACAGGTCCACCTTTACACCACGTGACTCAACGGAAGTGACGTCGTGCTGAGTAAGCTCAACCAAGCAGGAAAGAAAACAAACGGCAGTGCGCAGGCGCAGCAGCAGAAGCAGGCTGGTCTGACTCTGCCAAAAGTCCGAACTTTATTTTTGTTCGATTTTATTAAGAAACTTTTAATTTATTTATTGTTTTTTATTCGGTTCGTTTTCGCGGGAGGCTGAGGTCACGCAGTGTCGTCATTGCGCACGTAAACTGCGGCACGAGACGCAGGGGGAGCGCGAGACCCGCCAGCGTTTGTACCACCCGGAAGTAAGGAAGGAAAAGTCTGAGTGGAAGTTAGTAAAGTTTGATGAATTTTCTGTCGGAGGTTCTTAGACCTGCAGCGGAAAGCATCAGGTGAGCCGGCAGGTGAAAATATTCTAAATTATTTCTATTGCTCAGTTTTACTGCTGCGTGACAAGTTTGACTTAAAGAGCAGCTGTTTGGTCTCCGGAGAGCTGACGGGCAGATTTTACTGCAGGAAACGTGTGAAAGTTTCCTGTGAGCAGGAAAATTGTGAAACATCCACAGAAACCCTGCAGACTTGCGCAGTTTATCCGAGCTCGGAAACTCACCTGTTCATCACGTGCTCACCTTTTAATGTCCCACAGAGGGAATGACACTCTGCTGCTGTACACGAGACACGAGGACAGGACATAAAACCAGTGAACACATGGGAAACCTCAGAGTTTAGACAAATAATGTAAACCTAAAGAAAAAACACACACTTAAACAAACGTAACTTTATGGGTCATGCTCTGTGAGCGCTTCAATACTGTGCTTTCTCCTTCATGTGCACTAAAAAGTGAAAAGTCTGCACATATTAAATTTCTTCAAACACGCCTTTAAACTCGGAGTTTGGAGCCAGAGGATGTTCTCCAGATGTGCGTCACATGATGCTTCGTTTCCTGTTCGCTAGTAAAGTTTTTGGCAGGAAATTTGTGCTTTTTTTTAAAATGAATCAGCTTACAGAAAACACAGAAACCAGACAGCAGCTGACAACATAAAGACTAAATATAACACAGCGAGTCTCACATTTAACTCTTTCCTTCTGAAAGTGTGCTAGGAGGAACCATTGAAGCTTTTTTCTGAACCATCACATTTCAGAACAAAATGACTGGATGTGTACAAGCTACTCTGGGGCGTACAGAGGAGGGCATCAGATGTCGACTTTATGGGAGAAAAGCTTAAAAACTTTCAAACAGCCAGGTAAACGGTCTGTAATGTGCTGTAACTCACTCTCTGCTTTGGAGTGCACAGCTGGATCCTAGAGGAGGACTTCTGAGAGTCCGGCCTGTTTTTCCTGCACTGTGATTAATGATAATATTTTGATGTAAATGTTTTTATCTGTGTAAAGGAAAATTCAAATGTCAGACAGCAGGTTGTACTTTATATTTAAAGCAGAGATTCTGCGTCATTTACTAATGATTATTAATAAGGTTTCAGTTCATTTTCTGCCTGCTCAGACTCTCTCTGCTCTCCTCTGCATGTTTGCTTTTAAACGTGTAAAGAGTTAAACTTAATACTCATATCAGATGATTTTATTTAATTTAAGTTGAGTTTTTACCTCGGTTAAATTTCTTTATTACACTCTGGACTTTATCATCATCATCATTACTGTTTACAGCACAGTTTGTAGAACTAGTAGCAACTTCATGAAGAAAAGTTCCAAGTGTGCAAAAAAGTGAGTGTGTGTGTGTTATTTCTTGTTAATAATATCAGCAGCAGTGCAGTAACCCTCCTGAACTCTATTAATGTCTAAAAACTGACTCCTCCCTCAGAGCTAACCTGCTGGTTTTGAGACTGAAAACTTTGCTTTTATGGAAATGACTGATCTTCCTGGACTGAGCAGTGACACAGAAATGAAAAACAGGTTCAGGAAAAGTAAAAAAAAAAAAAAGAAGTTATTTCAGCAGAAAATCTGAGTTCACTGTCCTCAGGAAGGAAAGTGTTCACATCTGCACGGACAGATGGAAACATCCAGATCTCTGGAGGTCTCCGATATTTAAAAGCCCCAGCATGTTTAAAACTGAGTTTTCTTAGATCTTCTGATCATATCTTTTATTTCTTTAAAGATTCCCCCCCCCCCTTTTTTTGTTTAAAAAGGGAAAGAGTATGAAATTCCTGCAACATGTCTGACTTCCTATTGTATGTTATGCAAAGCAGAGGACAAGTAAAGCGAGTCAGGAGAATTGCACAGAATTCATTAACAAGTCAAAAATCGCCTCTGTGAGCTGAGCCGCTCCATTTGATCCATGGAGGCAGCGTCACTTCCAGACTAAGAAATCATGACTGAGTGTTTTCAGATGCTATCTCATAGCCTTAGATCTGAACACCTGCAGCTTTCATGTGATTGGTCCTTTTCTTCTTTGTATTTGTGGCCATAAACGCTTTAATTATCGGCTGATAGTCTGTCATCAGTGTCAGCCAGTCAGGAAGTATTCAGCCCTCCTGCAGGAAGAGGTCACGCCAGGTGAAGCGACTGCTTTAACCTCCAGATCTACAGAAGAACAAAAACAGGAACCATGTGTTAGACTGCCAGGTCAGCCTGGGGTTCACCTGTCAGGTGTCCTACCTGTCGGGCAGACCCTGTCCATCTGTTGTGGTCCCATTGGTCACAGGGTCTGTGGAGTCTTTAAAGAGGTCAGACAGTGAATTAACACATCAAGCCTAAAAGTAGTCTGATTACTCTGCGGCACTAACATAGAGATGATCGTAAACTTCTGGGCCGATGCAGGTGGTTAGAAGATCAGTAATTTATTTTTAGTTTGTTTATTTTAGTCCCTCTGAACTCTTGAGCAGTGAAACATTACAGAAATAAGTCCTTCAGCTCTCTGAACATTTAACCGGTGCAGCTGTGAGAGCAGACAGCTGCTGGGCACTGATAAGAAAACATCAGTCAATAATTCTCATATCAGCTCTGAAATATTTACTTTGACAAACGGACTCTGAGGTTCAAAGTCTCCACAGTCTGTTTGTGCTGACCTGACTTTAAACTGTGTTTCCTGCTCAGAACGAGCCTCGACTGCACCGCTAAGCATGAACGATCAACCTGTTGTTTTATCAGTGAAATTAAATAAAATAATTTTATTTGGTCATTTTTAATACATTTCCAGCATCGAGCTCATGACCCTGATTATTTTTGCACATGCACATTATAAAATAAGTGTAATGTATAAAAATTATTACATGACATACAACTTACAGTTTTCCTAAAAATCAAAGCAGAAATTATTGGGAAAAAAAAAAGTTAACTGATAGAAAATGTGTTTCTTTGTTGTCATAGCGATGAAGAGGAGTCGGATGTTGGCGGTTCTGGTGGGCGGAATCTTCTGCGTGGCTGTGATGTCACTGTACCGCATGCTGGACCTCATGCAGGGGTCAGAGTCTAAGCGATATGGGGAGCCACCTGGTGGACAGGTGGATGAGGTGCGTCCATAAGAGTTTTAATTCTTTTCACAATAAGAGCCTGTGGATTTTCAAAATAGTGTCATTTGTGAGAAAGAAAATTTAAACTCTTTTTTTCACATTAACTTAAATTTTCTTTTTAGCTGTGATTCTTGTCATTATTCATAATAATAATAATAAAAATAAAATTGGCCCATAATAACAACAATAACAACAACAATAATAATAATAATAATAAGTGGTAGTGGTAACTTTTAAAATGATATAAATATTTCATTACCAAGGAAAGAGAAACGAATTCAAACTAATTATAAAAATTGAACCAATCAGATCTCTGGGGTTTTTTAGGATTTGGCCCACCTCCAGCAGAAGATTGACGGGTTGGAGCGTCTCCTTAGCGACAACAACCGATTGGTTGCCATGCTCCGTGACACTCTGCTCCAAAGCAAAGCGTGGAAAAGAGCCAACAACAGTATAGACTCCGCCCTCGGCAGGAGGGGTGAGGCTCTTCCTGGCTGCCGATTGGCTA